ATTTATCTTTGTCAGAACATCCTCCCTCCTACTGGTAAGGATAATCTTTAATTAAGAGCGTTGAACTCTTTATAAACTTATTTTTTTATTGTCTAAACCGTATGCGCCTCTCGTTGTTACTGCAGCGGCGATGATGTCATCAATTTATGAGGAAAACAAAGATGAAGATGGTTTCCTATACATGACTTACAGTGGTGAGAATACATTTGGATCAGAAGTCTGAAATGGAAAGCACAATTGAGCTGTGTATATATAGTCAGAAGGAACTTGTGCATACTCTTTAGTTATTTATTTCCGTTTCTCGTAGAATGATGTTTTAACTTAATTTGCATTTGAATGGTTATTTTATGGCAGACTTTTAATATATTTTTCCAGTTTCTCATTAACGTAGTTTTTACGGAAGTAGTTAACTTTGCTTGTTCTTCTATTCTAATCGTCTTGTCGGTTATTTTTACGCTTAATTTCTCAAATTTTAGTGATGGGTTCAGCTCGGAGCTTTTGCTGTGAACTAGACCAGATTCGTACCCAGTTGACTTTCAGTTTCTTGATTTTGACCAAGCAAATCTCCCATTAACAGTATAAGTTTGGCTTTTATTCTTGATTTTGTTATATTTTCTTGATGGAACCATAATTTTGAATCATTTAATACGTAATAATTTAAAAAGAGAAAAAAAAAAATAAATGCCCGCCGTGTAAACAGAAATAAGGCCATTTTGCCAGTTGGTCAAAATCAAGACATTAATTAAAATTCAATAGCACGTGATTTTATAAACCATTGGTTATTGGATGAAAAACGTGTGACAATCCACAACGTAGATCCACACAGCTTGACAAAACCAAATTCCCAAGGCCAAACAACTAACTAAATATCAACAATAAAGTGGATTTTTCATTACATGCACAGCCTTCTTTTATTGACCGTTTAATAATACCCTCCCAACTTTTGTCAATGAATTGCTGGTAATAAATCAATGCTTGTAGCCAATAGTTGGTTTGCTTTTTTCACGCGTATATAAATCTCTCTCCACCCAACACCAGCGATTCCAACATATACAAGAGACGAAGAAGAACTGAAGGAGCGAATACAGAAACTGTGTTAATAAATCGAGAATATTGGATATGCCTTTGTTCTACATTTGGAGATGCTTTTCTGAGCAGCCGGAGAGGAGCCAGTACGTTTGCGAAGGTGACGTGTGTTACTTACGAGACGCCAAGCCATCATCAAAAGCATCCGATAATTCGAACAAGAATATTGATCAGATCAAACAAAGCATCCGGATCCCGTTTTCTCGGGCTTCGACAAGATCAAAGGTTTGAGGTCATGGTATTAAGAGAAGTTCATTCCATTTTCACCTTACTAAGTTAATGTCTTTTTGAAGTAAGCCTTCGATTCGTGGTATATATTTATTAATACTCTATTTTGTTGAGGGGTTTACTCTATTCAATCTTATTTTATATGATAGAAGACGGACTAAAATTTGAAGATTTGAAACGAGAATTATAAAATCATTGATATATCGAATTTCAGTTCAGTATTTCATTGATCTACTGGGAACTTGTCTGGAGTTTGAATAAATTATCGGTCGTGGCAGAGTCATTTCTTGTTTTTCGACCAGGAAATCAAATCGAACTTACATAATAAGATAGTTATTCTATATATAAAAGATTTCAATAAAATGTTCATCTGGGACGATAATTACACACAGATTTCCATTGCTCTGCAATTCACAGTTAGCAATAACTAACAACTACAATAAGCATTACAATCAGAAGCTGCAAGCAGAACACAAACAAAGAAACGAACAACACTTTTACAACAAAAGAAATTCATCCATATTTGCAATTACAAAGTCTATCTATATCTATCATCCTTTTCTATATCTGATACTTACCGATAAACCTAATTAAATAAATTAAAGATCGATTCAAAAGTCGAGAGCTACAGGTTATATGATACAAGTCTTCCATCTCTTTCCAGTTAAAGCAAAAGATTGTACTTTTTTTACTCCCGAATCCATTCACAAATAGAAGCTGGGAAGCGAAATCGAACATTCTTCCTTTTATCTGAATAAAAAATTCTCAGAGTTGCAGAGCAAGATCCGGAGAATCAATCAGCAGCGAGGGCAACCCGAGAGACCCTAATGATTGGAAACCGATATTTAAATCTGGAGGAAGTAATTCTTGCTTCTGCCAATAGTGCATTTGTGGACCAAGATTCCTCCAACTTGACTGCTGTATTTCGTTGCCTACTCTAAAAGCTCGAGGGCTTTGATCTACAAACGCGCGAAGCAGAGTATCATTCCTTTCCGGTTGAACATGCATTCCATTTCTTCCAAAAGCACTTCTCACTCCTCGATTTTGTGCCACATTATCAGGAGTTGAATTATACGAAGAATTAGGAAATATCTGGTTCGTGTGCAGATTAGCATTTTTGCCAGCCGGCACAAACCCATGAGCTCCTACAGACATCCATGCGCGGGCCGCAGCTACAGAGGCACTGCTCGAGTCGTTAGGCTGAGGAGAATAGGTAGCTGCTTTTGCCACGGCAGACGATGAGCTGGCAATTGTACTACTACAGAATCTATTACCAAAAACATTCCCATCACCAAGGTGTTTGGAAGCTTCCGTTTCGGAAATTCTAGAAACTTCCATTACTAGAGGATTCGGGAGTGGCTCGTACTCTCCGATCCAACCCCTGCCAAACTCGAGACCTTGAGGAAGTGACTGTTCGATTTTCTTCGAAGCAACTTTCCATGCAACAGTTCCGAGTGTTGCAGCGAAACGAGCAAGGCTCCTAGCGTATGAATTTTCCGAATAAAGCCCCACCTGATTTTGAGGAAAAAAATTTGGAATAGAAGTTACAAAAAAATAAAACAATGCAATAAAAAATAAGCGAATACTAATATATAAATCTGAAAGAGACGTACAGGAACGAGATGCTTGCTTTCTCCCTCGAAAGTTGAGAAGATGGAGTCTGACGCAATCGCCTGATGAGCAAACGGGGTTCTTGTGTATGCTGCTGCATGAGGGTTTTCATAATACACGAATGATTAGTACTAATCAGTTATTGGAAGTGATTAAATATTCAGGTTTGCGAGTTACCTGGCAGTGATTCTTCACCCTTATCTAAATTGTTGTCGTTCAAGAAAGATTTGCCCTCAGAAAGAACATCACTATTGCCAGTTCTAAAGAATCCAACAGATTGGGGCAAATTTGGAACATTATGGATATCTGCTGATGTGGCAAGAGTGGCTCCACATGAAAAGTCGGACCCGAGAGATTCTTGCACCATTCTCCTCACGGAATCATTCGTTTGCATATTCAAAGTATAGCTGTATTTCATCTTCTGCTCAGGCTTGACAAATTTCTCCGAGCAAACAAAATTTAACCTTATCTTCTGAAATTCCTTCGTAGCTAACTCTTTGATTGACCGTGCCTTTCCAGAGATATATATATATATATTAAATCAGTGAACAGCTACTTTAAAAAGTCGAAACAACAAACTGAAAAAAAAAGTGCAGTCTCTTTACCTGCTTGTGGTATACAGTATGCCGCTCGTTGTATTGCATTGCGTTCGAGCAAATGAGGAAAACATCATGCTGGCCAATAGCAAACGGAATTCACAAAACAGAAGAAAAAAAGAATAAAAAAATTAGGCAGACTTCCAACAACGATAATGTATTTAAACTATGAAGGTCATAGCTTAAAAACGAACTTTTTGGCGCAACATTCATAGCTCCAATCTGTTGCATGCGACAAACTTATCATAGCCCAATGATATGAAATATTTTTCATAAAGAATTTTTTTTTATATGCTCACCCTGTCCCTTACACCCCCGATAGTCAAT